AGAATTCGATTGTTGGAAGATATCAGACATAGAGATCAAATTTAAATTATCCATTTCCCTGCTTTTCCGATTTACAGTTTCCAAATTATCCATTGAAAGCTATCGTACGGCGATTAGAGAATTTATATAAAAAATAATAGACTGAAGCAACGCAATATCCACAAATTATAATCTCAAAATCCTAATATCGAGCAAAACAAAGATAACATCATGGTCCATAGCATCCCGGATGTCGGGCATTCTGTCTACTGCATCTATGCTACTCGTTGCTACCATTGATCACATTCGACCGACACCACACGTACCTCCTCAGTCGCATCCTGATTGTGTGCACCAGTAGCTCTTGCCGGTGCCTCTCTCACAGTCTCCTATACTCCCGTCCACCCTCTCGCGCCACTTTTCTCTGCAAACCCGGCCAAATCGAAAGCGACAATCAAGACGCTGATAATGCGTCCTCTACATCTGTCGTCGTCTTCGTCGTTGTTATTTTTCTATGTAACGGCGTCTTAAGGTCTTATAAATTTTTCTCGCTCTGTTGAGAGATGCACTCGAGAGACATTTGCGAAAGCACACTGTTATAAACACGCGCTTATATTCGCACTTGCTCGACCCCGACCGGGGCTTCTACCACTACTGACAGAGAAATCCGTTTCTCTCCCTCGGCCCGGGCGTCGAAGCGTCGATACGACAACGACGACGCTTGCGCGCCGCCCCCAATCCACCCTTTCCCACCCGGGCATTTTCGTGGCGCATTCGAGGCTGCGACCCTGCCGTCGCAATACCCCGCGCGAACACCGTCGTGAGTCGTCACAGGCCATAGCGAATCCGCTCGCATTCTCGCTGTTGCAAGAACATGACGATTTCAGGGTTGTCAAACGCGTTGAGCAAAAAAAGTTGGTGATCATTGGATTGATATTCTCTACTCTCGACCAAATGTCTCATAATGCTTCTTTTATCGATTCTCGGTTCCGTCCGACTCGGTTCACCATCTTGATGTTCCGCTCTATTGTATTTTAAAGATTTATGAAATTTATCAAATTTCTGAAATTAAATTATAATACAAAATGTCTCAGACTTATATTAGTATAGCTTTTTATACATTGCCCTAAGAATCTTAATTATTAGAATTATATTATTAGAATTGTAATTGAAAGCTTGAACGTACAAATTACGTAATACATATATGTCATTATCAAACAATTTGTTTTATGGTACCAATCAAAGTCGTGTAATGTCAATAAAAAATCCAAGTAATTTCCATGTATTTTCAAGTAGAATCATATAGAAATAAACAAGAAATCGATAAATTACAGTTGGTCACTTAGACGATCGATGAGACTCACTATAGTTAATTAAATTCTCTATCTGTACTTATTTAAATAATATTTGTTGGAATTACTATTTAGAACGCTAATATAATTAAATTTTACTTTATTTTATTACATGATAAAAAATATATAATTAACTTTTTTATTAATTTCGGATATTATATTGAATTGTATCTTATATAAGTATTTAATAATAGAAATTTGTAAAATGCTGTAACTATAATATAAACATTTATCCGCAAAAAATATAGGCCACTGTCTCGACACAGTGACCTATATTTTTTGTTAGTATACATATATTATATAACTATTATTATACAGTTCTAATTAAAAAATTAAATTGAATTGATCAGTCTAAGCACTCTAAGCAAAGAAAAATGTATTTCTAAATCTATATTAATTTGCAAAATTATTACAATAATAAGTAATAAAATATTTTAAATAATTTCTGCAATTATTTAATAAGATTATTTTTAATAAAATCTTTAAAATTTATTATAAAATTACAATTTTATTTTAAAAAAAACAAAGTATTGATAATCTTATTTGAATATTTGTTTATTCAAGATCAGTTGACTCCGTCTATCGACTATCATTAAACATGTTGATGAAGTCTCCTCGTAATTTATTCGTAATTTACTCGTTTGATTAAAGCTAGAAAATTGCTGGCCGTTCTCATGAGATGACTACGTACACTGTTAATTATATTAAATAGAAATTTAAATTAGGTTTTCAGACATTTCATTAGAATTTTATTTGATGTCGCAATAGTTATTTAAAATAAGAAAGCTGGAATTAACTCCGCATGTTAATGTCGTCGTTTTCGCGGAATTTTCATTTATTTCATTCTTTTTGGTATACAATTTGAATTATTAATTTGCAATAAATATAAATTACTTTTGATGAAGTAAAGATAAAGTCTGCTATTTATATGCATTTCTGTTATTGATTAACTCATTACTGATAATATAATAATAACAAGAGTCTCGAAAACATAAGAATATTTTTTTTTTATATGTATTATCGAGATATTAACAAGGAGACCATTGGAGCTATCCCTTACCATTTTTATATAATTATATAAATACATATGAGAGAAATATGTTTTTTGTGTAATATTAAAGTTAACATTTTGCAAAATAATCATTTTGTAGAAAAACATTTTGCGCAATAGGATGGAATGATTATATTTTTCAAGATGACAAAAAATCTATTTGTAAGCGTGAACTTTAGTTGTTGAGATATTGTGTTTAACATTAAATGACATATTATAATATCTCTTCCTTATGCATTTTGATTTATTTGTATAAGATCTTTTAAATCGATAAGAGTACGCAAGAAAATAATATCAAATACTATCAAAAGTATGCATATTATAACATCAAAAATAAAATGAATCAACATTAAATAATATATTGAAGTATGTTGATAATCAAAGTTCATCTTACGACAATATTTTTTTATCATCTTAAGAATAAAAATATAATCATATTCCATTGTGTTGCGCAAAATATACTGCCAATAGAGGAAGATCGAGTGATATCGACCACTTTAGCTTTTTCGATATTTTATTTTCTTGAACGTGAGAGGGAGGGGGGGGGGAGAGAGAATCGTTGTTATACATATTTCTGCAGGCGTGTGTAAATATACAGTATATAGTATAAAAATGTAATAAGATAATTGTGTTTTCATTCTAAAGAATTACAATATATAACTAATACTGAAATAATAAGTAATATGGAATATACCGTTATATGTATAGAGCACAAAATATTATAAATCTTTTATATAAAACATTTTTTTATATCGCATAATTTTGAAGATATTTGCTGAAAACAATAAAATCCATTTCTTTTTGGAAAGTGTTTTAACTCCTAAACCTTGAGATACGCTGATAAAAAAAATATTGGTCTAATATTTTCTAATGTTTTACAATATATTTAAAATCTATCAAAATCGGTGAGGGGGAGCTTCGACGGTTCTCTTATAAGATATAGCTATTGCAATCATATTTTAATATTGTAAGGCGGTAATACCACAGTTTAATACTTTAAAACGTAAAGAAAAAACAATATAATAATAAAAAATTTTTAACAAAGTAGTACAACATTATTTATAGCTATTAAGAATTTTTCTTCGATAAATTTATAACATATTGATAAATGTATTAGAAAATGTATTTTTACAATATATTTTTATACATATACAGAATATTCGAAGATATTTCAGGTGCTAATAGTTATTGGGACATCCTGTATATTATATTAATTAATACACCAAATTTTTTTATATTTATTTAAAATTTAAAAAACCAGAATTAGAGAAAATACAATATATTTTTAAGGATAGATAGAGAAAAGAAAAAACAGTATATCTGAAGAAATTTAAAACAATTGATTTGTATAACAAATATCCTGTTAAAAATCTTGAAAAACACATGCAACGAGTACAGCCCCGATGTCAGTAGCCTAGCTACTGAATGATTAAATTTGGCATAGTTATGTACCATTCTGCTCGACGATGCACACGTTCCATACATTTGCTCATTCTGAAACCGCGGGCATTGTGCCGTTTAAATTGGCACATCTCTGATACGAAAGTTCTGCAACATTACATTGTTACCTAGGCTGTGCCAACGAGTGCTTTTCCGCGATACACCGCTGGCGCGACAGCTTAAGGAAAGACGTTTCTAGACGTCCATCATTCATTAGACGAAAGCTACTTTTTCTTTTTAAAAAAAATTTAGATTTAAGTTAAGTGGCAGTGTAAACAAAGAGAAGTATTTTTAAGTAAATGTTAAATTTTGTTTATGCTTTTTTGTTAATGTCTAAATTATATTTTTATGCTAGACATGCAATATTTTTTTTTTTAATAAAGATAAAATAAGTAAAATGTGTAAAAATATTAATTCATTTAAAATTAATAAAATTTTAATTAAGGCTAGAAATTTCAAACTATTACTTTCTTGAAATATTAAGAAAAAAATGCTCCTGATTAAAACAAGAAAGCATCTAAAAAAGCTAGGACATTCTGTATAAACGCACTAGGCGTTCTAAAACGCAGTCAACTTTTATTGATTTATGCTTGGCCGATGAAAAGATGAACGCAACCAGAAATCCAAAACGCTAAGTGGCATGATGACCTCTTTCCAAGGTTTTGAACTTTGTTTCTAAATTATGTCAAGGACATAAAAACAGATAAAATAAACTTTTTTGTGGAAATTTCTTGAAACAAGAAAAATACTTTATGAATATTGATTGGAATAAATCTGCAATTATTTGATTTCGTGCAAAACACATATTTACGTTATATAATTTCTGCGTTACATTATATGTAATAACAAAAACAGCAAATAGTCAAATTAAAGGTATTTTGGCATTGCTTACAAATTCTATGAAATGCAAAACCCGATCTGCCAAAATTATTCAATTACAAAAAGCGCGAAAAATTATCATAAATGTATAATTATAAACTCTCTTGTATTAGATATAAAATCAACAACAATAATAATATTAAATCAATAAACATATAACAATATTAAAAAAGAGAACACTTTTCATAAAAGGAATTTATGTCAAGAAAAAGAATATAAGTATATCATATATTTGAAAAATTGTTTCTTTTTCAAAGTAAAATTATATTGACAATACAATGACAATGATAATTACAAGATTTATACAAAGACAAAAACAGTAGCTGAGTGTTTGATAATTTTAGCGCAATATCAATGGCTTTCTTGAATGCCATTTGGGATGGCGGTCTTGTTCGGGTATTTCCCGTAGATTCTACCACTCCTGGTGACTCTGTAGTGGATCTGTGATATCATGGACATATTGTCGGACATATGCGGACCGTCGCCGGTGCACAGTCGCTTCGCTCGCCGTATGCCGACAGTTTTATGCTTGTGTAGCTGGGCAAGGCTGTGTCTCTTTTGTTGTTTCAGAATCATCTTCTGATTGATAGCTAGACCAGTAGCACGTCTCTTTAACAATCTCAAAGGTGAAATAGCCAAAATCGCTTTAGTAATGCGACGCCGACAACGCCACAATAGAACAGCCGTCGCGAACCAGGCAAACCATGGACTGGCTCTTGGATCCGGGGTTGGTTCCCTCGACCAGAGAAATAACATCTAAGGATAAATATATTTTTAACAGTAGAAAAACACATATATAGTTTTACACTAACAAAATTAATTATTGTAAAATAATATATTGTGCCATTAATAACATTCTCATTGTATTATCAAAGTATAATAAGAAACATTATATAATATTTAGAAAATTAATTAAAGGAAGATCTCAAAGCATTGGAGTTGCATTTAACTAATTAATTTTTCCTTAGGATGAAACTACAAAGTATAATTATATAATATAATAACCATGTTAAAGAAGAATATTGATTCTGTAAAAACAGTTTCTCTGTAGATTATAGAAAAATAATAAATAAATAAAAAATGGTAAATAGTAGCAATCATGAGATCTGTTCACGTTGCTTAAAACCTCTAAAAATTTTTGTACTTATGAATAATATATATTTGGACGTTGAAGAGAGAGAAAGCGAAGATGCTCAGTACAAATAGTGCAAGCAACGCAAACAGATCTAGGCTGTAATTAAAATTAGAGTAAAAGTGCAATGTCATAGCATTAATTTGAAATAAAAAATTACTTTCAACAACAAAAAAATTCACGAACGATTGAATATATTATTAATTTCTATGGTATGGTTAACATATATGCACTTAATTTGATACTTATATTTGAAGTTAACACTTATATTTTGATTTAAATTTATATAAGTTTTTTTTATTACTTATATTGATAATATCTTCTATAACATAATGAAAATTGTCTAAAGACAAATCACTAATAAAATAACATCGCGATATTTAGAAGTCGACAGGTGATTTGTGCGACTTCTTGCTGATACTGGTTTCAAGATCGCACGAGAAACCATCGTGCGGTCGGACGATCGATCTCCCGGCCATCGTAGCTTTTCAAGGCTGCACCTTGAGATCCACGTGTGGATCTCAGGTAATTCGCTTAGAGCCACTACGTCTCGAACACGTTCACTCTGTTAGGCAGCGTTTCGACTTTTATGGCACCGCGACATCTCCGTAGTCGTAACCTTCGCTCTCCCTTCTTTCCACCGGAGTGACCCATTTGGCAAAGACCTCCGGGGTAAATTTCGCATTGATCGCATGTTTTTATTGTCAGAACTGACCTTATAGATCCACTCGCTGGTGCTGTGTTTGAAATTGGAAGGTGGGTCGATTATCCGAAACATAGAATTGCCGTAAACGCTTATTCGTAAATGATGGTAGTAGAATCTAGAATTACAAAGATAATGAATTGCAAAGGGGGGGGGAGATTACATTATTTTTAAATTATTTTTAAAAAATCATTGTTTTATTTTAATATTTGACAGATCAGTTAAACTATTAGAGTACAAGAACACAAGAGAAACTAATTAGGGTTAAATGTCACTGGAAAAAGCAAATATAAAATAATATAGGTATTGACACTATGTAATGTGTAAGTATTGACAGGCACATACTTATTCCAGAAAGAGAGAGAGAGAGAGAGAGGAAGAGAAATGAAACATTATGCTAGTAATACGTAAATCAATATAAATCAATAATTTAATACAGTTACGTTGGTGATTGTAGCGGCTTAAATAGATACAAGAGAGTAAGGATTCAGTTCTTGTCGAATATGAAACACGAGCCTCACACGAACAAAGAATAAGGGAACAATTTCTTGTCGGTGTATAGAATAAACAGTATTGAACAGTTTCATGTTTCAGTTCTGGGCAGAAGATGGAGAAGCATGTATGTTGACATGTTGACGTGTAATGTTACACATTTAATACAAGCTGCACAGTAGAAAAGTCAACGATGTCCGATGCATCAGAAAAATCAATGAAATAATGTGAAGGAAGTCAAGTGCTGTCGAAGAAATATATATTTGAGAAATATAGTTTCGCTATGATGTCAAGGCAAACTATACATTTCCGCAAGACGGAAAATACAACATTCTGAGTTCAAACACATAACGATGTTCTATAGATATATCGTTTGTTTAAATGTGCGGAGGTGGTTTATATGAAGAGACATTTCGAGGAAGCGCTTATTGAACCGGAAGGACATGTGATTCGCGTTTAAGTCCCGCATGTAGTACAGTAAATGTGCTTATCTGTTGCTAAACGTTTCTGATATAACACGTACAATTTAGTTAAGTATATACAGTGTCTTAAATTTTTTCGCCTAATTTTAATTTTTAGATTTTTCTTAAAATAATTATATGAAAAAATTTATAAATTTATAAATTTACACTTTTAAATATCTCTTTAATAAGTTCATAAATCGAGCTAATTAATAAAATAACAAAATAAAATGATAATAAACTAAGATTTTGTTATTTACATATCTATTTTTAATCTTAATTTGCAAAAGTAAATTTAGAATTTTAATTGTATGTTTATAATTTAGAAAATAACAAGACTTTAATATTTTTATAAAAAAAAATTTTTTTCAAATAATTAAAAATGTCTATGAAAAGAAATGTCTTAGACAAGTATAAGGGTAAAAATATAATATATTTTATCTCTAATGTATATAATGTAATAACTTTAAATTAAACAGATAGTAATAAATATGTATAATATATATGTGCAAATACTCTGAAAAATTTTTAATTGTATAATCAAGTTAAAAATTATATATATCCCACATTATATATACTAATAATACAGTTAATACACATACTTTGACGTCCAATAATTATTCTAAGTCTTCCACCTGATATCTTAGGTCTCTACTCCAAAAATTCACATTCACTGCTGACTCTCACATTCGTTCTTCGTGTCTTAATGACAGTCCAATGACACGGACAGAGTCGTTGCCAGTTATCAAAATGAATGAGAATACCTAAACGATGATAAGCCTAACCAGGAAGCTGTCATCGAGTTCGACGGATCTTGACGATAGAGACTTTTTGTCTGACCATGCGATGATCTATCACATCTTTCGGTTTTGAGCTTCCCGTCGGTTTTCTTGGGGAAGAAATTGCGGCAAATTTGGTAGTTTTGCTTACGCGAAAAAATTCGATCAAAAATACAAGTAAACAGGCTACAAAAAGTTGTAAAATAACATATGAAGTGAAGTGGAAGAGCGCGAGAATTTAGACAAAGGATGGCGCCGCTCTTGGATGATTGTCTGACGTTGGATAGAAAGCGTGGCGATTAATCGACATGAAATACGAGCGGAATATAGCAAAATTTCATTTGTCCAGAATAGTATAATTAATCATGTTAAATGGTAAAAAAATTACTAGCTATGGATATTTTACAAAAAATTTTTATTATAAAAAATAAACTTAAGAGATATTCTTGTATTAATACTATTCTATTTTGATACTTACATACCTGTTTGCAAAATATAAGTAAAAATCATATCTTATGTGAGATTCCTCTACAAATTATAAAATAGCTGTTATTACATAATTAATAACATTTACAAAGCATCTCTCTCTCTCTCTCTCTCTCTCTCTCTCTCTCGCTTTTTCAAACTAATATCAATTTTATAAAAATTCTATATTGAGAAAAAAATTGTTTATTTTATTTAAAATTTAAATCAAACATATTATATAATAAATATATATTCTCTAACAAAAAAAAAAAATAAATAAATTATTTTTGTCAAATAAACAATTTTTTTTAAAACTGTATCAAGTTTATAAATATACTTTTGAAATGTAAGATTAAAGATATAAGTTTAAAAAATTGAAGATTAGTATTTATATTATAAAAATGACAATAAAGAATTTACGGTTTATTTCATAATTGAATTAAACTCTCTCTCTCTCTCTCTCGCTCTATTTAAATATTATACTAACAATAAGTAAAAATTTTTTAGCCTTACATAAGCTATATTTCGTTATTTATGCGAATATTGAATATTGAAAATCTATAATTCACATTACGCATATTATAGATTTTCAGTACTCGCAGTAAATATATAACAAAACGCAGTCACAATTTACAATAAACATATATATTTTTTGTTTTTGCATCATCCTTATCACTTTAGCGTATACTGAAGAAATTTCCTTCGTCAAGTTGAAACTCCACCAGCCATACTACCCTTTTGCCGTCCTCCTGCTCTCCCGTGACGTCACTGTATCGTGTCAGTAGGTCAAAACCTGGATACGTGACCTGAGTCTGGTGTATGTGTCTGTGTTTGTGTCATGTATCTGGTGTCCAGAAATAAAAGAACATTAGAAATTACGTGTATCCATATTACGACATCACATTGTATCGTAATATCATATATCAGGAAAATAATCGATATTTTATATATCTATATAGACAAATAGCCAGCAATATTAAAATATATCTTTAATATTGCATTTTAGAATATAGTTAATTTTAACCTATATTTTCTTTTTTGTTCTCAATTAATAAATAGATAGAATGCAGTAAATTATAAATATCTTTGAATAACATTAGATAAATAATATTAGATAAATGTCAATGTAATACATATATATTGAAAACAAATTATGGTTTATTTGTATATAAAAATAAAACAATTTATTATATTTAACGTTTAATAAATAGTTGATATCTTTGAGTAAGTTCTTTTGATAGTTTGTGCTTTCACGACGAAAGCTGTACTTTGTTACTAACGATATCATCTGTCATTATGCGTGCCATATAAAAATTATGTGATTCTCGAAATTATCGCTTGTAGAATTTACATTCGGAGATTGTATCAATATAACTAATGATATAAATTGATTACAGAATAGTCATGGAAATAGATTTATAGAAAACTAATTCCATAAATTGATCCATTGTATAATAATTACAGAAAACAAATTATAATTTAATTATTGATTTTTCATTAAAGATGAAAGAAATAAGTGAACTTAATTGAATTCTATTTATTAAATTTAATTGTTTATAATACGTTTAGTTGTTTATAATACGCAGCCTAAGTAAATGCGTAATTCTCTCTATATATGTCGATTATTGCGAAGAGTGTTGCTAAGGTCTCGGTAGTCTAAAGGCTCAGGACGCTCGCACGGAATGCAAGAGATCCGGGTTCGACTCCCGGCCGAGGCAATATTTTTTCGCAATAAAATTATTACAGTTTTTAAGATTGGGAAGAATTTGGGGGGATTTATTAATTTCAGATTTATTGTGTGAATCCGATAATTTCATCGGCTCTCAATTTATGTCTGAAAAATTAATTATATACTTTCAATTTTATTGAATGTATATTAAATCAGTAGTTCAACATCTTACTGTGACCTATAAGGCGCTGATTTCAATGTGTTTAGTTTGAAAATGTTAGATCCTGTCAATCGTTATTAAATTTAAGTTATTATTATAATTTTATGATTGTTTTCTTAGTACATTCAATATTGCTGTTATAATTTATTAGATATAAAATAAAAATATATTTCAAATGTTTACAATATTTAATAATTTCTCATTTATTTTTCTATAGTACGCACAATGGCGAATAAAGCATAAACAATCTATTAATTGTTATATAAGCTTGTACTAATAGCTTTTATATAATTATTGTACTTATTGTCACACATCAACGATTGTTAAATGATTAACTTTCGGGTATGATTTTGAATTTTCTTTTGAGATGAGATTAAGATTTATGAGATGTTATGATATTATATTTTAGCAATTTACCACAATATTATTCCTCTCTACAGAGTGAAATTTTCTGTGCTTTATGAGAAGAAATTGCTAAGATGTACACGCTTATAAGTTATTTCAACCAAGTGCTTTTCTTATAAATATGCTTAAAATAATCCAGTCTCAAAAACATCAGAATAATAAATTTTAACAATGCAGATTCTCTTCAAGATCTTTTACACAATCAAAACTCTTAATTTAGTCTCAGGACTTTAAGTTAGTCTCAGGAATTACAATAATTTATGAAATTAGTATGTGTGAGAAAATTTCAACTAATTTTTAGAAAATGGTTATATAGGAATTCAGTTGTAACTTGGAGCGCAGCCTAAAGCAAATTATGGAAATAACTAATCGTTTTTACCAACATCGTGATTACTTACGCGCATTTCGATGAGCCTGCAATTGATTGTGAGGACGAACCGGTCGGACTGCCGACAAATTATCGGCATAAAGCGAACGATAATTAATGAAAGAGCGTCTACAATATCTCGATAACGAGGCTTATCGTACGTATTGAGAAAAGAAAAACTTATGAATGAAAAGAAAGATACTTTTATCGCCGGCAGCTCGATTAACATTCCTATATAGTGTCAGCAGCATTAATCATAAACATTTCATTCGAGTTTATCGACATTGTCTGAATGAAACATTACTTTGGCTTTATCTCGTCCTTCACATTTAAATTGGCATATTTATTTGAGTCTTAAATAGAAAGTGTAACTAATATAAAGAAATTGAAGAATACACAATTGTAATTTATTTATGTAATTTTCTAAATTTCTTTTTGCTTCCTTTTTTTTCTGAAGTTTACATTCTTGTTTTAAAATATATTTCTTGCTTAATATTCAATGTAAGAAAATTGTAAGACCTTCTCGATATTCGCTTTAATTTTATTGTACATCGAGTTATTGAAGAAATGAGTGAACAAGAAGGATAAATCGTATTCATAAGAACAAATGTTACGGTATATTATTCTACTACATTGATTTATCTTTTGCCGGTCACGACATGCTTTTATGTTTTGTCTTCATGCTCTTCTAATGGGCAATAATGTGACGATGATCCGTGCAATTATTCCACTCCTTTTGGTTCGCCCTCAGTAAGGAACGAGTAAAAAGGTAACAAAGACTTCACTGCGGTTGCAGCCACTGTACTACTGACCTTGGTCTCAAGTAACGTCGCGGCCGAAGTGATTCAAGAATGGCACAGAGACTTCTAATATGCGTGTAACTTCCAGCTTCACTGCATTGTAAATTTGATCGTTGATGATCTGAAGTAATTTCTCTGCAATGCTGTTGGTTTGATTCAAAAGAATTAAGTGTTCTAAACTATAATCTTTTCAAATATATTCTTCAATATATAACTAATGATTGTTGCAAGAAAAAGAAGATCATTTATTGTTCGTTTGAAATTCAATTTCCATATATATAATATGTCTTAACT